TATTGGTGTTAATCTGGCACCTGATGCTAATTTCCTTAATTATATGACAAAAACTATTTAACTGGGAGCATTCCTCCCATTTTCACTGAGATTGCAAGATGGTGGGCCGCTCTAAGGTGACTGAAAGCCTGCAACAGGAGGTTGTCCAGATGAAGGATAAAGGGATGCCCCTTTCAACCATTGCAAGAGAAGCTGGTCATTCCAAATCTGTGATTTTTCAAATATTGCAGCCTTACAATGACACTAATTCAAGTCCCCCAAAAAGGCTGGCCATCCACGTGAGACACATTCATGAGAGGACAGGATAATGCGGGGACTCTCAATGGGGAATCGGTTCAACACTGCAGCTGGAATTGCTTGCCAGTTCAGCGCTGAACAGAGTAAGTATCTGTCTCAGCAAGTTTAAGAGAAGTCGCACTGAAAGTGCACTCTGCAGTGGCCAAGCCTCTCATCAGCAGAAAGAATCAAAAGGCTAAGCTCACCTTTGCTGAGGAGCATATTGTGTAGAGAGAGGAGAACTGGTTCACTTTTGTGATGATTCTCTTATACAGCTACATGGCGGAGTGAATGCAAATGTTTATCAGAACCTCCTTCAGCAACATGCAGTTCCTTCCCTGCAAGAATTTCCCAATCAGCCTGCAATTTTTCATGCAAGACAATGTCCCTGTCACACTGCAAAACAGGTAAAGCAGTTCCTTTTACCCAAGAACATTGAAATAATGAAATGGCTGGCCCAGAATCCTGATCTTAACCAGATTGAAAATCTCTGGAAAATCCTTGGTGATAATGTTATGGCTAAGAAACCCACTAAAGTTACCAAACTGTGGAAGAGACTGGAAGAAGAGTGGACCAAGATCACACCAGCGCAGTGAGAGAAACTAGAGATGTGCTGATATCATTCAAAGCAAGGGCCTCTACACTTCCTATTAATTTCTGACAGCTGTAACCCTCCAAAATTCTAGTTGTAATCTTCTTTCGTGCTACAGTGATTACTGTTTTTTTTTATCACTATGTTTTCCACAAAATAAAGGTTTTTGTTTAAAAACCTTGGTTATTTTGCCAAACATGTTAGTATAACAGGGGTACACCTGCAGCTAATATTCCTTGAAATTGAGCGATGAAGATTAAATAATTTTTTTTATTTTATAAAAACCTCTGTTCCATTTAATATATTATATAAATTTGTATGTATACGGTAAATTTTTTGTGCGTGTGTGTGTGTATTTGTTTATACACGCAAAAAAAATTATTGCAAAATTTGTCAAATTTATAGAAATAAATACAACTAAATACATGCTCAAATTTTCTGATTCTGCATAGGGCATGTAAAATGTATGTCTGTGTATATATTTCTGTATTTGCCGTTTTTTACCTTAATTTTATAGGGAAGTAGAGTGAAATCAGGAACATTGTTTCATAATCTGTTTTTAATAATAATTATTTTATAATCTAATGTAACAAATCAGATAATTGCCAAAGCTGAAAGAACATATTTACCCAAAATAATTATCTCAAATTGAAAACAGAAACTGTCCATTATCCATTTATTGGGGTATTGGTTGATTTTGCAAATTTGACAAGAAGCCGATGACAGTAATCTCAATGTCTGTAACAGTCTGACACTTATAGACAGCTTGAATGGAAATCTGAAATTGTGATGTTAATTCCTATTGTGATTTATGAAAAATTCCTTTTTTTATGTTATATGTTTGGTCTCTGGTTTAAATTATGTGTTTCTTCAGTGGGAGTGATATGCCCCGGTTTGCTGGATGTCATTTTGAATATGTAATTTCTTCTGCACTCATCCTGATTTGACTCACACCAGTAACCACATTTTTTTCCCTCCGTCTACCATTTGCGGTGAATCATAAGAAAAGGGCGACATGATTAATTAGTGTGTTTGTTCTCACACAAGCACATTAATAACTGTCATTAATTGCCTAGAATGCAGTACACAAGCAAAAAATATATAAAGAATGGATATCAATAAGCTCACGTCCCCCAAGCCACCCGATCAAAGAGAGATAGACATTGGCTGGTACAGGAGGTGCCAAGGTACCTTGAAGGGTTATGACTTTATCTATCTAAGCTATAATTTATATTAAAGATTTTCTGATGTACTACCACATACAGGTTTCCAATGCCTAACCTCATAAACATCCAACGATTTAGCACGTGACCCTTTCCTCGGGGTGTCTGTTGTAATGAAATAGTAATCTCTTCATTCAAATGAAACATGTCTGTTGTGACATGAGTGTTTCTGTGAGCCTTGCCTCCTCGCATGACTTTTGATGAAAACTTGCTCAACAAATTGGATGTAACACTTATAGGTCTTAAATTCCAAAGCTGATGCTGTCAGGCCTGTTGAATATTTCATGACATAATAAAGCAGGGCCATAAAGGAACTTTATTTGTAAGTTTGTAATTCAAATGCTCCATATGCAGGCTAAATTATGTATTTCCAATGCCTTTTCACATATATTCATGTATTATAGAGGAGGAGGCAAGGCAGTTCTAATAAATGATACATAGCAATTGATTCAGTTCTGGTGAATATAGAAATGTAAATCTTGTATGGTCAAATGTATCTCGTTTCCCAGTACAGTTGATGTGAGTGAATTTTTCTTACTACGAGTGGGCCGTTTTCGCAAAGGCAGTTCCATGTGGTGTGGCAAAGATACACACGTGTGTCATATTCTTTCGGTCTGACCCACAAGGGAGTTTTTAGCTGAGATCAAACCGTTTTCAGTACATTGATATGATGTGAAATAGAGCCTTTAATAGAACTATGATTTGCTGTTATTGTGTGTTTAATAGACATGTGGGTGGCGTTTTAATGCCTGCTGTTGTCTCATTTGCACAGAGACATTGAATGCATTACAGCAAGTCCTAACCTGGCATGACAAGCAATAAATCTTAAATGTTTTTGTTCTAAACAGCCGTGGCCACGACAAGCAACATACATTTTGTAGTAGTCTTTTATTCTCACCGAGGCTGTATTTATTTTAAGAAAAATACAATAAAAACAGTAATATTGTGAAATATTATTATAATTTAAAATAAGTTTTCTATTTGAATATATTATAACGTAATGTATTCCTGTGATGGCAAAGCTGAATTTTCAGCATCATTACTCCAGTCTTCAGTGTCACATGATCCTTCAGAAATCATTCTAACATGCTGATTTGGTGCTAAAAAAAACATTTCTTATAATTATCAATGTTGAACACACATGTTAATATTTTGTGGAAACTGTGATACATTATTTTCAAGATTCTTTAATGAATAGAAAGTTCAAAAGAACAGCATTTATTTGAAAGAGATTTTTTTTTGTAATGTAAAAGTCCTTCCAGTCACTTCTGTATAATTTAAGTATAAATATAAATGAATAAAAGTATTAATTACCTTTTTAAAAAATTATACTGTCCCCAAATATTTGTGTATAGCTAAGATTCTATGCACAATTTTTGAGCAAATTTTGGGATGCCGGCTAAAATGCTGAATAGGAAAAAAAGGTACATAAAACATTTGGTGGCTAATTATTTTTATTAAGTAAGAAAAAAAATGCATAGAAAAAATGGTGGAAAAACATTTACCAAATTCAAGAGGTCATGTGACTCTACCTCAAGTCATGTGACTGACTCATTTGCTAAAATGATTAGGTGCGTTCAACTTCATGCAGCACTGCGCAGACTGATCGGCGGCTGACTTGAAGCAGTGCATGCCGGTTAGAAATTAAGTCCGACTTGAACCGGTGCCGACGACACGCCACTGTCATGTGTGGCATCAAAGTACCGCGATAGCGTTTCAAGAGCAGCCGGCTGACTCCGCTGGCGCAGCTTTTTTAGAGCAACTGCAGGAGTGCTGATTACGACACAGCTGTTTCACGATTGGCCAAATTCACCACATGACAACAATGACGTGTGTTTCGAATCTTCAAATCCAATACTGCTCATAAATCTGTTTTTAGAACAGTAAAAGCTTTTTTACTGTAGTCGCAATATTATATTGAGTCACGTTTATCATGAAAGCATATATATACCCCCACTTTAGTATTTAAATAGTATATATTTACATGGAAATTTATTCTTGAACAGATGGCGCTGTATTAAGCAGGATATAAAAAGTGTTTCTGTTGCTCATGAAAACATTTCTGAAATGTCTGTGTATTTGACAAATATTGCATTTAATTCACTTTATCTGTGATAGAGTAAGCAAACACCACGCGAGCGTCAACGGGAGCAGAAAGTGTCTGGCTTGATGGCTCCGTTTTCAACTCCGCCCCCGACTGCAAGCGGCTACTCTCGTTGACTGCCGTCTGTAGCCGTGCTTCAAGTCGAACGCACCTCTACTACTACTACCTCCCACAATTGTCAAATGACATACTGTCACTGCCCCCACAATGATTGTCATTGGTCCCACAATCACATTTTAAACATCAAATATATTATTTCTGATAAAGCAATCTGATGAGATTTGTCAAATTCTACAGTGTTTTCTCTTTCAGCGTGGACAGGAAAATAACTGGAAATTTGCAGATGTTGTATTTGGTTAGAACACTGTGTTTGTGTTTGTAAAATAAGCCTATTACATTAGCTTCTCGTCCATATTCAGCAGAGCACACCTGATTGATTTTTTCAATAAACAAAATAATCAGAATCCTTATTGGATTATCCAGTTGAAATGATGCCAATATCCATTTCTTGCTCTCCCACTGTTATACTGTCTAAAATAAACAGTCAGATATCTAGCAGCGTCAGTGTTTCTCCCCCTGAAGACTAATAGATTAATGTATTAATAGATGTCAAAGGTGGGAGGTTTGGAGAGATTTGTTTGAGTTACTTGTGAAATGTGAAGCATTTGCATTTTGTTTGTCACAGTGGTACGGTGTAAAGCGGGGTTGTATCCCCGGAGGGAATCTGCACCCTTGTGATTGAATCTCCTTGATTTAATGCACTCAATCACTGACCTGTGCTTCCCTCTCTCCATCTCTCTCCCAGGAATGTGAGTTCGGCAGGAGAGGAGGCTCGACGGCGGATGAGAGAATGCGAGGGTCTGACTGACACGCTGCTTTTCGTCATCCAGACTTCCCTCGGAAGCAGCGAGATTGATAGCAAGGTAAGCTTTCCTCCCGGGATCTGTCCATCTCTTCCAGAGCTATTAAGGCAACCTGTTGTAAGTGTTTGTGAGTGTGTGTAGAGGTTCATGGAATGTTCTGTAACAAATAGACAACTCTGTGGTTGGCTGCTGTCTGAAGGTTGCGAAGGCTCGCTCTTCTAAATGGCGTTCTTTAATCATGATTTAACTGTCAGCCCTCCGTCAGGCCCAGCGTGCTAATAGCAGAGCGGAGGGGATGCATCCGTCCTAATGAGGATTGAAGAGCAGAGCGTGTGGATGCTGGAGCATGGCACAGTTCTTTCCCTCTGGTCATTTTCAGACTTGCGAGCATTCCAGCCTTCCCACAATTCCCATTGTCTGAATCCCCCCACGGTGCACTCTCAACCACCTCTCCTCACCAAACTCACAGCATGGCTAATTAAAAATAGTGTACTTGAATTTCTTGTTATATTTCTTCAGGCTTTATAGGCTGTATGTAGACGGTGAAAACTTGCTTAAAGGCTTTAAAGGGACAGATCACCCAAAACATTTGAAATTATTTTACTCACCATCATGTCATTTCAAACCTATATGACTTTCTTTCTTCATCAGAACACCAAAGAAGTTACTATGAAACGCATCTCAATGTCCAAAACAATACTGGACCTCATTCACTTTCATTGTATGGACAAAGACAGTTGAAACATTCTTCAAAATATCTTGTTTTGTGTTTCCACAGAATAAAATCATACAGGTTTGGAACAATATGAGGATGAGAAAACTAATGACAGATGATGACTGATAATTAATCTTTTAGTGAACTATTGCTTTAATAACATCCACCAATGTTCAATTGAAACCTACGCCATACTTCTTCGTTTACCTGTTGCACATAGTTTGTAATGTACTAGTTAAAGTGGTCAACTACGTGACTAATTGGTTTTTACAACAAATAGTGAATATTCCTGACTACTTTCCCAAAAACGATGTATACCGGGTAAGATAAGACCTAAAATTAATTAGGTTGAAACGTGTAAATGTGTTTTAATGCTAAGCTCTCTTCAAGTTGTTGTATCTGAATTAATCTCTTTCTGTAACAAATTCTCAACATTAATTTTCAAGATATTTCAAGATAGTTACTGTTGGATGTCAATCCATGTGAGCAATGTTCACGTTTTTATGCATACTGTGACAGTTATGTGCAATGAAGGTTATTTGAAGTGTACTTCAGTTTTCAAATGAACACTTATGCATACAGCCGAGCACATAACCTTCCAAAGTATACTCCAGTTTAAGCGTGCGCAAACACAGACTCTAGACACACGTGCACAAGAAAGCTTCATCCATCCCGCTCCAGAAGTTATTAGTGTTTCTGTACTCGTTTAAACTAAAGTTGTGGTCTCTTAACTCCCTCGCACAAGTGCTTGTCAGCACAGGCATCTATTGTTGTCAGCATTTTGTTGTTGTTCATCCGTATCATTCATTTCTTTTCAACTGTGAAACAACAGGCCGGATCCATGTTGCCACTTCAGTGCAAGAAAATTCAAGACACATGCAATCAGAGCATACAAGCTTAGAAAAATTAGTTTGCGTTCATGCATGGGCATATTATGCTGATGTTGAAATTTACACCACACACTGTATGCTTGCCCTCAAGTACATGTAAAAAAACAAAGTATACTTTGCAGTGCACAGCTGGTAAGCTAAGAACAATGGTGTATGTTTCATTTGAACATTGGTGGATGTTATTAAAGGGATACAGTAGTTCTCTCAAAAATGAAACATCTGTCATTAATTTGCTCATCCTCATGTCATTCCAAACATGTAGGTCTTTCTTTCTTCTGTGGATATTTTGAAGATATTGAAGATGTTTCAACTGTCTTTGGTTGTATAATGGGTCAAGTATTGTTTTGGACCCCACTGCCTTTAATTGTATGAACAAAACAAAAAACATTGAGTCATTTTTTAAACTCTTCTTTTGAGTTCTGCAAAATAAAGAATGTATACTTTGGTTTAATGCATGTGTTGCTAAAAATCTGATATTCGGATTCTTCTCATTGTGTACAGCTGCTGTAAAAATACAGATCAATGCAAAACGTCAGCCGTCAGGTGTACTGAAGCTCTTGAGAGTTGAAAACACACTGATAAGCTTGGGAAGCATGTCTAGTGGGCTTCGCCACTGTGCCCCATTTTACTGCGACCTATTGAGTTTCGTCTAAATGTAAAAATACTAATTCTATAAGTGCACCTCCAGCCTATGGTTACACCTTTTCTTAATCCCTATACATTTTTAGCTCATTTTAGAGCACTGAGCACTCTTTTTCATCCATCAGTGTGCTTTAACACATTACAAACGCTCAGAAAAGCAACAGCAACCATTTAACCCATCACACTGGCTTCGGAAAAGGGCAATCACCCTAATCACTCCAATTTCTTTGTGTGTGGTGATTTGCCCAGAGCTGTTTTCGCCAGGTGTTGGCCCAGCAGAGCTATAATTGCTGAAAGCACACCGCCTATGGTCTTAATGTGCCGTTAACCTGTGGTTGGTCAAGCTCAGTCCTTTTGACTATGGCATTTAAAATGGGGACCTTGTAAATGGCTGGCAGTAAGAGAGATGGTGTTGCCCTAAATTTCACCAGGTGCAATATTCATTATGTTGCACATTTTCAGGGAAATTTCAGCAGAACTTGTTTCGTTTTCCTCAAAAACATAAAAAAATGCAAGGTCAGACGTGTCTGGCACAGAGAAGGGCTGTTGTTAAGCCAATATGTTTCTGTACGTCTGAAATGCCAGTGCATAATTCTCTGAGCATGTCTCTGATTACAGTCATTATTTTTGTTTGTGCAGGGCATGGTCCTCCTCGTTCCATAATGGGGGAAAAAAGAAAAACATGGAGATTGAGAAAAATGCTCGTTTTTCATCATCATTTTGCGAGCATTTGTTTTCTATTTTCCACTGTCAAGCATTGTGCCTGCTCTGCTGTGTCTCCTTGTAATACCCTGTTAAATGGAGTGTGAGCCGATGGATTTGGCTGGTCATTTTTCCCCATCTGCGAGTATATCCTTTAATCACATTTAAATGGGAGACCGTGTCAGACATATAATTAAGTACTTTCATATACTTATAGTGTCAATGCAGCCTACACTTCCAGCCAACACTCAGAGAAAGACGGAGACAGAGGAAATGAGAAAGTTAGCTGAAGTGAAAGAGACACGGAGAGAGATAAATGTAACTAGGTTTTAAACACTGTAGGATGTAACCTTGCTGTCTTTGACAGGCCCTAGACATGTCTTTCTCTAATACAGGGATCTTAAAGTCAAATCACCTAATTGTTTAATGCAAATACATGTGTTTTTACATCCACAAATTTGAGTTATAATTTGTATTTTATTTTATTATTTGAATATTTTGTTATTTTATCTTTTTCTCAAATTACCTGCCAGTTAAAAGCAAATACAAGTTGTTTTGCACAAAAACACTTTTTTATTTATTTATTAAATGAATTATTTATTTTTAGTTTATATATAAAATAAAATGCCTCCCAGTTTTACAACCATACATATCTTTATTTTTATATTTTGCTTTATTTTATTTTACTTCATTTTTTACTTTAACAGTCCTACTAGAGAACTGCAACCATAATGCAGAAAGTAAAAACTGATTTGCAGGCACAATTTCAGGATAAACTAGTAAATCTTAAGAGACTGAATTGAAATGAAATGAAATCGTGCAAGCCAGTAGTTAGAGACGCCTTCTGTAATGGCTGCTTTTTTCTGAACACTTAATTTAAGTGTTTTTTAAAAACTTAATTTAAGTTAATTGTTATGACAGCATAAGGAGTGCATGCAGACCAGTGTGTGTGTGTGTGTGTGTGTGTGTGTGTGTGTGTGTGTGTGTGTGTGTGTGTGTGTGTGTGTGTGAGAGAGAGAGAGAGAGAGAGAGAGAGAGAGAGAGAGAACAAATGTGTGTTTCCTCTTGTCTCAGAACCAGCATGAGTTGGATAGATGAAGTTTGGCCCCTCTGGTCAGATGGGCACTATCAAGAGCTCAGTGGTGCTAGACTAATACCTGCCCAATGGGGTGGGCACAGAGGTGTGTGTGTGTGTGTGTGTGTGTGTGTGTGTGTGTGTGTGTGTGTGTGTGTGTGTGTGTGTGTGAGAGAGAGAGAGAGAGAGAGAGAAAGAGAGAGAGAGAACAAATGTGTGTTTCCTCTTGTCTCAGAACCAGCATGAGTTGGATAGATGAAGTTTGGCCCCTCTGGTCAGATGGGCACTATCAAGAGCTCAGTGGTGCTAGACTAATACCTGCCCAATGTCTGTCTCTCTCTTTCTCCGTCAGACCATAGAAAACTGTGTATGCATTTTGAGGAACCTCTCGTATCGGCTTGCAGCTGAAACGTCTCAGGGACAGCAGATGGGGACGGACGAGCTGGACGGCCTCCTGTGTAGCGATTCCAGCGGGAAGGAAGGAGAGACCTCGGGCTGCTGGGGAAAGAAGAAAAAGAAGAAGAAGTCCCAGGACCAGGTGGGCCATCCAAAGCAGCATTTACAGGCTGCAATTTGACCCTCACCTGCTGACAGTCACTCTAACACACTTTACTTGGAAATCATAGTCCAGAGTACCATGAAAGAGGCTATTTAAAGTCAACAGGAAATCAAATTTTCTGTTTTTATCATATGTGACCCTGGACCACAAAACCAGTCTTAAGTCGCTGGGGTATATTTGTAGCAATAGCCAACAATACATTGCATGGCTCAAAATTATAAATTTTAGTTTTATGCCAAAAATCATTAGGATATTAAGCAAAGATCATGTTCCATTAAGATATTTTGTACATTTCCTACCGTAAATATATCAAAACTTAATTTTTGATAAGTAATTTGCATTGCTAAGGACGTCATTTGGACAACTTTAAAGGTGATTTTCTCAATATTTTGTTTTTTTTGCACCCTCAGATTCCAGATTTTCAAATAGTTGTATCTCAGCCATATATTGTTCTATCCTAACAAACCATACATCAATGGAAAGCTTATTTATTTAGATTTCAAATTAGGTAAAATTTCACAAAATTTACCCTTATGACTGGTTTTGTGGTCCAGGGTCACACATTTTCTTTGTTGTTTCTAGTCTTATTGTATTATTAGTTATATAATATAATATAATGTACATTTATGATATAATGTATTGGATCTATTTTTTGTGTTATCCTATATCCTATGTATATATATATATAATATATAATATAATGATTATTATATTATATTATAATATTTTATTAGACCATTTAATAATGAAAATTGCACTGTTATTATGCAGTGTAATATCGCATATTATGCATTATATTTTTAGATTACATTAGTTTATATGATACTATACACACACATATATAAACAAAAAGTAAAGTCTTGCCCTAATTTTCACTTGTCACATAATGGAAGTAAAATAGCTTGTGAAAGTCAATTTGTGTTGACTGACTAAAGACAGAAGGCTGTATTTCACAATAAAATGCTTCTCTGCTTTTGAAAGAGAGCCCAGCAAAAATGGGGTATTTCATATCAAAATATTAATAACACAATCAGCATATTCAACTTCATTTTACACCCCTCGTTGCCTCAAAATAATCCCAATTTATGTTTCAATGAGTTCCCCAAATAACAGATTTACACGCCGCCCTTTAATCAATTACTTCCTCTGCAAACGTAACGCTCACCACCTACACAGAGACACACTGCAGACAGTGAGTTTCCCCAGTGACACACTCTATGGCTGATAAATTTCAGTGTTTGTGGGCGTCAGACTAAAGGAGTGGGGAAAAAACCCAACCTTTTTACAGGCGACTCCTCCATAGCAGAGGAAACTCTTCATTAATCTCACGCAGGAAAAGTCAGCCTGGATCCTCCTTGCAGACACGGAGGTGGGAGAGCAGTTATGTAACACCACTCCCTCTGGAAATGTCCCGTTCCAGAGGAGCCATGCAGCTAATAGCTGGTGATATACTGTAGCCACCGATAGCTGAATATAATCCTCTTTAACTTCGATACTAGCTACAATAAAACGTGCACTTGCTGCAAAAGAGATGCTCGTCACAGCAACCTCTGGTTGCTACGTGCCTAGTAAGACGCAGTAAAACTTTAAAAGCAGTCAGAGTCGAATAATACATCAAAGCTATTGCTCTGTTGAGATTATGACAGCATAGACTTTTGTATTAAACATAGTTTGGGGATGTTTTGCGTCGTCTTTTGCATTTGAACATTCAAAGCTGTATTTCCTTCATTCATTATCTCAAAACCCATACATAAGTTTGCGGATCTGTTTTAGCATTCAGTCAGATGTGTCTCCTCCAGTAGTGGACGAAGTACACAAATCAAGTACTTGAGTAAAAGTACAGATACGTATAATAAAATATTACTCCAGTAAAAGTACTCCTTTTTCAATTTTACTCGAGTGAAAGTACAAAAGTACTCGATTTTTTATGTACTTAAGTAAAAAAGTACTGATAGATAGATTTATTTTGCAATTTTATATGGGCTACTTAATTTAAATTTATATTAGCACATATTTTTTATAATCCTATTGCTCAAAATACCTGGAATTTTCCCAAAAATATCCACTATATGGAGTCAAGATATATTTTTGTTGTTGATATGGACTATGTTGATTAGAGTGATTTAGTAATGTTCACTGTGAAGCTTACACTGTGAAGTACCTGAGAGAAAACAGATTTGACCATCTGATTTTCACCAGTAAGAAAAAAGTGTTTGAAAGCTTGTTGTTTTGCAGAACATCATAGTTATATATGACATGAGAATAAGGCCTGAAGTTAGGAAGAACATTTTAAGGAAAATATTATTATTTTTTTTTCTTCTCAAACCTTGTCTGTGGTGTAAAAACACCCCTGGCCAAATGCCCCCAGAGTGCATCACTTCCCACTTTAATAATTACTGTAGTTACCATGTTCTGAACATCACATCCTTTCTTTCCCCCAGATGTAATCTATCTAGGTGGTTGAATAAAAATATTTGGACTTTATATCTAAAAATGACCTCAACTTAGCACCAGCAAGCTTGTTAGCTAGACAGTTAGCATCAGCAAACAATATTTATTTATTTTCAGTATGGTTATGAAAAAATATTCATATCTGTCTACTCGACTAGTTAATCCAAACAATATAAAAATTTATACTGTTGATAAACAATATAAAAACATACGTCACATAGGGCTAAATGCGTAGCATTTTAATAAAACTGATAACGTTACGGCAGCTGGGAATATGAACGCGCATTAATTATTTTATTTAGTCTGTGCTATTTTAAGGTTTGGGGGGTTTTTTAACCTAAAATAGAGACACAGATGTTGATGTGTCTGCATTCAATCATTTCAGTGGGCTTAAATAGATCACCCTTTACAGCAGATTTAGTTCCCAAACAACTGACAGTTTTGACCTAAATATGATTTTCAGTTACAATAATTAATCCTAAAATTCGACATTAGTAGCTTAAGATCTCCCGGTTCTTACTTGTGAATTCAGTTCACTGGAGACTCGCACTAAACGGTTAATTTGAATCAGTGAGTTGTCAACTCGAGAACAACTGCAATCGGTTCATTCTAATTCGTCAATTAATCGTTTGGTGCGATTTGCGAAACCGATTTAAAAGGTTCATTGAAAAGAATCAGTTCGTTCTTGAATCAGACACCGCTTCTGCGTCTCGGAGCACGTGATATATTATAAGGAGTAACGATATGTTTTATGAAATGTAGTGAAGTAAAAACTACGATCTTATGCTTTGGAATGTAGTGAAGTAAAAGTAAAAGTTACTCAAAATAAAACGACTCCAGTAAAGTACAGATACTTGAAAAATGTACTTAAGTACAGTAACGAAGTAAAGCTACTCCGTTACTGTCCACCACTGGTCTCCTCCAATCAGATTACAGAAAGGAAGGAGATGCAAGGATACCGGAGTCGTCCATCTCCGCCTCTTGGACTGTAAAGAGGGCCATTTCTCCCCATTACCTAAGGTGCCCTCTCGTATCATGTGCTGGACCTTCTCTTCAGCCGAGACGCTTTGAAATAGGACACCTGGGCCTCCGGGCAACAGAAGGCTAATGTACTCTGTTAAATAATTTATCACTAAGTGGCAGTGAGGTAGCCCAGGAAACCAGAGCGTGCTGCTGCGGCTCTGTCAGGGCAGGGTTTGCTAATTGACTGAGAGGAAAGAGTATATAAACCAGAGCAATTTCAACCCACCAAGCATTGATACCTGTCTTTGAGTTTACTCTGAGAAATGGGGCATGAAGCGTTCATTATGCTCAAAGCTTGCCGACAGGAAAAGGGTGAAGAGAAAGTTTTCGACAATTTGAGATGCTGTTTTATGCTCTGATAGTTCAGAAGAAGCATTAGGATCACATTGTCATTTTTAGATTGAGGGTTTTGGAAAAGCTCAAAGAGTTGCATTTGGGCAGGTTTGACTCATTTTAGATGTCCAAAAAGACACATTTTCTGAAGAGAAAACTCATGTTGTTCACCAGAGTTTAGGGACTTCATAGTAATGGGTGAATGACAAATACAAATGTGCAAGATGATGTAACGGAGAAAACTTTTAAAAGTCATTCACAAAATGACCCATGTTCTTAGAAATGAAGTCTTTGTTGGTTTCATACAGTTTTGTATTTTCATAGATATATTTAAAATCTATCTATTTATTTATCTATCTATCAAAACATGTTCATCATAGAAGAGGTGTCATTATTTTTTTAGTTATTTAATAGATTTGGACTTAAGCAGTCATTACTTTGACTCTGATGGCATCCTTAGCAAGCACCTTTTTCGTTGATAAATTATGAAAACAGTTTTGACAGCGATTGTGTTAGGCTGAATGTTTGCGAAATGTTGCCCTCATTGTTTGCATATAGTGAAACCACAGATTAAACCAAGTATCCTCTCAAACTCTTTCCATTTCTTCTACGTTCACCGTATGAGAAGAGCAGCAGCCTCATGGGGGCTTCTCCACCCTCCAGCAGTTGACTGAACAACAGAGCTGCTCCTCAGAGCAGGAACGGGGGGGAGATGAAAACAGACTCATTAATAATGAAGGGAGAGTGAGGCTGAGTGCCAGAGCTAGTTTAAGACGCTGAGGTATTTTGCAAGTTGCTCTGCCTGAAAGTAGGTCAGCCTGTGAGACCAGCACTTTTCAAACTGACTCACCCACACGCCTCGAACGCAGACTTACAGCTCATCATTCCTGCCCGGTTTTAGGTCTATTCAGGCCACAATTTGTCAAGAGATCTCCTCGTGTGGGGTTTTTGTGTATGTGCAGAGGGTTACAGTCACCTTTTGACCCATACAGAATGACAGCGATTTTGTCTCGGGAGTTCGCCAGGTCGCAGTACTGATGGTTGCTAGGAGGCGGATGCCGTAATGTTATTGCTGGTCATAGCTGTAGAAAATCAGATAAAAAAAAGAGATAAAAATGAAAATGAAACAATTTTCTTGATGCTAAAAGTGAACACTCTGGAGGAGATTGTGTTTGTATAGTACATAAACTGCAGCAGTATATATATAATATAAATATAATATATCATAGCATGATGAAGAGAAATCATTATTAATTCATGAATCAAACTCACTTAAAATGCAAACAATTTCTGATGCAGTTTTCCATGTATAATTTTTTTATCATATACACTACTGTTCAAAAGTTTAGGATCAGTAAGAAAAAATAAGAAACGTATTTCAAAAATATTTTAAAAACTTACCGACCCCAAACTTTTGAAATCATACAGAAGAGTAAACTCACATTAACGTCTCTGTTGTATCACGTTTTCTTCACTCACTTCACATTGATATTTAATTAGCTGCACTTTTACATAGTCAAATTTTTCTCACTAATAAGTCATGTTGCTTTCTCACTGCAGATTTATGTCAGTGTGAATGCCCCTTTGTGAGGGTTTAGATGCTGATGGCGATGGATTTTGTGTGTCTTCCTGCAGTATCTGACTGACTTGTTTTTCATGTCACACTCTTTGTTTCTATAGTGGGATGGTGTGGGACCACTGCCAGATACTGCTGAGCCCCCCAAAGGGATTCAGATGCTGTGGCATCCTTCGATAGTAAAGCCCTACCTCACCCTCCTGTCTGAGTGCTCAAACCCGGACACGCTGGAGGGAGCCGCTGGGGCACTGCAGAATCTGGCTGCTGGGAGTTGGAAGGTAAGCCCTATGGTCAGTTGCCTTGTGTACGCATCTGTCTGTGCTGGAGATATGGCTTGGTATGCAACAAATATTGTTTAAAATACAAGTGGATTATCTGATAATTATGTGTCAGCATTCATCATTGGTTTTTCATTTAATTATGACTTTTATATATATATTGTATATATTGTAATTCATATATATATATATATATATATATACAGTGACAGCAAAGGGTCTGAATACTTAGGACCATGTGATATTTCAGTTTTTCTTTTTTAATAAATCTGCAAAAATGTCAACAATTCTGTGTTTTTCTGTCAATATGGGGTGCTGTGTGAACATTAATGAGGAAAAAAAATTAACTTAAATGATTTTAGCAAATGGCTGCAATATAACAAAGAGTGAAAAATTTAAGGGGGTCTGAATACTTTCCGTACCCACTGTATATATATATATATAGTATATATATACTGTATATATATATCATTTATTTTGTATTCCTTTATTTAATTTTTACTTTTGTTATCTGTCATAGGGCAAATGTTTAATTGCTGTAGGGTTAGGAGCATTTAAAAACATTAAAATAATTTAAATTTATTAAAAAAATATATATATATACGTGTATATATATTCAAATGGTTATCCATTTAATATTTTTGTATAGTTTTATTTTTAATTATTGGTAGCTGTCTGAGTGTAAGCCAATGTATTCTTAGCATTGAGGGCCTTTAAAAAAAACATAAAAATAATTAAATATTTCAATAATAAAAAAAGATTAAAATGTTTATCTGTTTATTAATTTAATTTTACACCTTTAAAGTATTACAATTCAGCATGTCACAAACATTTGAATGATGCCGTAATTTATCTGACTTTCTGTGCTATTACTTTCCAAGGCAATCAGTCTTATGATTTCCAAAAAAACTCACTGTAGCAAGTATTCTAGAGCCAGAATATTATAAATAACAGTTCTCTTTTGACTTGGTCCACCTAGCATTGGACAAACAACCACATAGCAGCATGATAAGAACCGCTCAGAGCACCTTCGCTTAGCAACACTCTGGTACCTGAGATGGTTTTTTTACTGAAAGTTTTATTAGCTGTTGTCAGGATCTAAATTTATTTAACGGTGCAAGAAGAAATGGTGTAAAATTGCATTTTTCCTGACCTGAAACTGGTTGCTTTCATCAGATGTTTAAACCAGTACCAATCTCCCTCTTGGCCCGTGCTTCTCTCTTTGTTCTCACATCCTTTTCACCATCTCTCAGCGTCAAAAGCTTGTTTTACCTCTGTTGCTCGAGAGCTCTAATCCACCGATGTGCTCGACAAGATCAATACTCTCAGATGGAGACAGATGCAATGGGATTGGATTGGTTTTGAAGTCTCATAACAGGTTTAGACCACCTTCAAGAAGTTAAATGAAAGTGGCGTCCATATGACCCCTCTCCACACCTACAGGCCATGAGGTTGTATTCGTGTTTGCTGTTGTGTTGAGTTTGTTGGAGAGACAAACAGGAAAGCAGTCCAGGTCCCATAATTGGCTGCTCTGTTTGTTCATCTAGAAGAGCTGACATTGAGCCCCCGTCTAATATGTGTGAACTAAGCTCTCTGTTTATGTTTTCAAAGTTCATCTCGGACTATTCAATTTATTATTAAATCCCACACTGTGTGTACTAGGAAATGGAAACAAAGCCCTTAACTTAAGATGGATCAAAAACAGTCAAGCGTGAAGTATGCTTTCTCGTCAAAAACTCCTTTTCAATTACAGTTTCAAGGATATTTATTGCATTGCATTACTTATATGTATTTTTAAACAGTTTTAATGAACTGTGATGTTGATTTTCACTAAATGACAGATTTACATTTCCACACACTAATTTTAAGTGCCATTTCTCTGTTCCTAAACCCAGTAAGATGCCTCTGTGATGTACTTTGCCTGATTTAACACAATTTCCTTTGAACTACACTAAATGCATAAGTGTCGGTGTCACTCAAACTTGCGACAGATAAAGAGAGCACGCAATCATTCAGATTAGACTGTGCTTTGCTGTTTGGTGATTATGCAACATGAAACCATGAATACAGTATCGATGTGTCAGAGGTGAATATACAGTCAAACCAAATATTATTAAAAAAACAGATATCATTTTTTATATTTTTTACTACTGGGTGCAGGACACTATAGTTCATTTATGTAAGTGAGGATAGCAAAATAAAGTGAACTGTGACATATTATACCCAAAAACTCTTCATACCAGTAAAATTTATAAAACTTTGGGACCAAAAATTATTCAGACACTTTGACCTGACCATGTTTTGCTTAAGTGTTATCTGACATTATCAAGAGGAATTTGTTCTGATACAGTTTAACTTATTATAGTGAATAGATTGTGGTAATGTGTGAAATGTTGGTGTCTGAATAAATTTTGGCTTGACTGTATGCAGGTTATAAAGCATTTTTGGTTTGTGTGTGTTCAAGAAAACCAATGTATGCAGAGAAAGAGACTTGACTAGTTTTATTACATTTTTTATTTATATCAGTTTTTTATCAAATAAACCTTGGTGAGCATAAGAATCTTCTTTAAAAAAAAAAAACCTTCTGACTCCAAACTTTTGAAAGATACATTTGGAAAAGGAAAGACACATGAAATGGTTTTGAATTTGTTCCAAATTAGGTGTCTTATTGGGCTGTCAAATGTTTAATCATGATTTATCGCATCCAAAATTAAAGTTTGTGTTTACATATTATATATGTGTGTGTACTGTGTATATTTTTATATTTAAGAAAAATATATTATATTTAGATATAAAATATTTACATATAGCCTTTGAAACTTTTAATTCTGGAGTGATTTTTTTCTAGGTACACAGCTTGCAAGGTTTAGGACAGAGCTTCTCTGTCATTGTGTTTTTGTCTCTCTTTTTTTTATGCACACATACAGAGGTCATCAGAAATGAGGAATGTGAGGGGATGCCTGCTGGGCCGTATGCTGCGGTCTCCCCTGTTACAGCAGAAGTGCAGGGTAGCAGAGAGTCTAATCTGAGCTGACACTCCGTCACTGATAAAGGCTGATCCCACAGCTGGGGTCATACATAGAGAACCTCAGAGAGCTAAAGCTCTGAGCTAGTATTAGTCTTTCACTGTAACCTGGGGAGTGTGATTACACTGTCAGCAGGGTGCTGATCCAAAATGAGACACTTTACAGACATTGGTATATCCAACTATGACGATACACTTCATGGTCTCCTGAAAATTGCTGATATGTAGAATTATATATAGTAAAGTGGCCGAATGTCGAATATCATTTGTCATATTTGTTCACCTGTTTGTTTGTTTGTTTGTTTGTGTGTGTGTGTGTGTGTCCCCTAGTGGTCAGTGTACATCCGTGCGGCAGTGAGGAAAGAGAAGGGTCTGCCAATCCTTGTGGAGCTGCTGAGGATAGACAACGACCGTGTGGTGTGTGCCGTCGCTACCGCACTCAGAAACATGGCCTTGGATGTCAGAAATAAAGAGTTAATCGGTACGGCCCTTTTTTTCCTTCTCTTGACTGTCTTCTTTTATTTTATTAGTCACTGTGATTCACTTTGTTTCAAATGGTTCAAAGCCACTGGATTTGTAGTGCTCAGGGTTAGCAGCTGTGGTCTCTTTGGCTTCTCTGTAATGAAGTCCAGTCTCTTATGTTTTAGCCAGTGTGGTAAAGAGGGCCATTCGTAGCTCTCAGCTCAGAGGAAGATAACTGTCATTTTATTATTACACATTTCCTGCCCACTCATCATTTTAAATGGGTTAGCAGGCATCAGGCTGCACTTTCGCATTCTAGGCTTGTGTAACTGTATATACAGTATAGTGTATATATTTTTGGTTTTGTTTGGGGTTTTGGGATTTCTTTATTGCTGACTTTACTGAAAGTGACATGCAACTCAAAAGTTTTGCATTTGTGTATGGCGGCTGCTCAAAGGGTCGTTCCAAAGTGACTGTTTGATTTTTGTTTTTGTTTTGTTTTAGTCTGGTTTGTTTGTTTGTTTGTTTTGGTTTATTGTTGTTGTTGTTGTTTTTTCTTTATTGTGTAGCTAACTTTACTGAAAGTGACCTGCAACTCAAAAATGTTGATGTTTTGCATGGAGGGTTCTCAAATAGATGATCCTATTGAACTGTTTTAATTTTTCTTTTGCATTTTATTTTGTTTTGGTTGTTTTAGTTGTTGTTTTAGTTTGGTTTGGTTTCTTTTTTTATTTGTTTTGTTTTGGCCATTTAGTTTGGTTTGGGTTTTTTGTTGTTGCTTGTTGTTGTTTTATTCTGCTGACTTATTCTGTCTTTAGTTTGTGTTTGTTGTTTGTTTGTTTGTTTGTTTGTTTGTTTTTGTACTGTTCAGTTGACTTTACTGAAAGTGGCATAGGTTTTGGAGGTTTTTCATAGGGTCAATCCAAATAAAACTAACCAGCTGTTTAAATCCTTTCAAAAAGGGCCCTTCCTCAACACCATTAGCAAAGCTTTCATATAATTCTCACTTCAAGAAATCAATTTTGTCATTTCTGCTCATGTGATACCTGGTGAAACATCCTCACAATTAATTATGTAAACTGGGGGCATTTATTTGTTACTCACAAAATGTCTTATTATTGAACCTATTTTCTTGTCTGTTTACCGCAAGTGCCACTAAAAGCAGTACACAAGTTAAAATAAATTAGAATTAATGATACAAGGCCAAATTATATTTTTAATTTTAATTTTAATTTAAGTTTCATTTGCTACAAGTGTGAGGATACATTTTGCTGTTTTGCTACTAAGGGTAACAATAAGATACAATATAGACCTATCTTTGTGTGAGGGGTTCCAAATGTGTACACATAAGGCAGTCAAGCCCTGCACCCTTCAGAGTGCTCACTTCAAGTGCTGTGTCCTTCACTTTCAGTGGAATTCGCCCAATATCTTGTTGAGTGGTACTTCATCATGTTTCCACTGTTGGTTTCATGGAGTTTCATGGCTTGGCGCACTGCACCGCATTAGAAGAGCTCAGGCTATGCCTCTGAATAGTGAGGACAATGTGTTCATGGTCTTTGTGACTTTCATAGTCATTGCTGACTAAGAATTAGCCTTTTCTGTTTCTGTAAGCATACAGTACAAGTAGTTCCCTCATTGTTTACTCTTAGCGCAGAGGTGAAGTGAGTCAAAGTGACTCTGTACTTATTTAGGGTAGTATAATTATACTTCTCCTTCATGACCATATCCACACCTGTCCATAATTGATATTGTTTCCTCCAAACATGTGTCAGAAGCATTGAGGTTCCTGCAATTGGGAGCTGACCTTACCTTCATACTGAGATGCAGGTGTTTAGCATTACACTGCTTCTGAATTAGACATATTAACGAGTACATGACACAGCATCACCGTCTCCGTCTGAATCACAGGAAGTGGTCCGCCCGAGGTCGCCGTTGTCACATGTTGACCCGCCGCAGCAGGTGCTTAATTAGAGCTTGTTTTCTTCCTTCCTTCATCCCATCTCACACTGATTCACACCATTTGAAATTCTCCCAGTGACATCACCAACCGACTATTGATCTCACCTGCTAATAAATGTGGTTTCCCTGGTGAGTTTCGCCATCTCCATGGCAACGGCTCCCCAGTCTCATTCTGCCGCTGGTTTCAGGCCCCCTCTCAGCTCCCCCAACAACTGGTTTGCATTTGCCACCTGGAGTCTGCCTAGATTTGCACATCATCCAAAATCATTTTAGATTATGCAGATTGCATTGTCTTCGTTATACATTGCCATGGAAATCTGCTTCCTGTCTTTGTAGATTTAGCATGTTTCTCAGTAGATTATGCAAAAATAAATTGCATACGGTACATGTGATGCACAAATAAATGTATATTTTTATCAGATTGCAGAGTTTAAGAGTCCATATATAGAGTACATTTAGACTCTAAATTGATTCGTATTGAGAAGTGTGTGCAGTAAACACAGTCTGTGACTGGCGGCTATTCTCACAATTTGCTTTTTTAGACAGTTCAACCTGGCCATCCATCAAAAGCTTTTGAGAGCCATGAGCAATAAAATCATTTGAAACTTCTCCCACAGTCTCTTCCTTTCATCCGTGCAGTGGTGGACAATAACGGAGTAGCTTTACTTCGTTACTGTACTTAAGTACATTTTTCAAGTATCTTTACTGGAGTCATTTTATTTTGAGTAACTTTTACTTTTACTTTACTACATTCCAAAGCATAAGATCGTACTTTTTACTTCACTACATTTCATAAAACATATCGTTACTCCTTATAATATATCAAGTGCTCCGAGACGCAGAAGCTGTGTCTGATTCAAGAACGAACTGATTCTTTTCAGTGAACCTTTTAAATCGGTTCGCAAATCGCACCAAACGATTAATTGACGAATTAGTATGAACCGATCGACAACTCACTGATTCAAATGAACCGTTTAGTGCGAGTCTCCAGTGAACTGAATTCACAAGTAAGAACCGGGAGATCTTAAGCTACTAATGTTGAATTTTAGGATTAATTATTGTATTATAGTATTAATTATTAATTATAGTAACTGAAAATCATATTTAGGTCAAAACTGTCAGTTGTTTGGGAACTAAATCTGCTGTAAAGGGTGATCTATTTAAGCCCACTGAAATGATTGAATGCAGACACATCAACATCAGTGTCTCTATTTTAGGTTTAAAAAAAAAACAAACATTAAAATAACACAGACTAAATAAAATAATTAATGCGTGTTCATATTCCCCGCTGCCATAATGTCCACTGAATTATTAAAATGCTACACATTTAGCCCTATGTGACGTATGTTTTTATATTGTTTATCAACAGTATACATTTTTATATTGTTTGGATTAACTAGCGGAGTAGACAGATATGAATATTTATTCATAACCATACTGAAAATAAGTAAATATTGTTAGCTGATGCTGTCTAGCTAACAAGCTTGCTGGTGCTAAATTGAGGTGATGTTTAGATATAAAGTCCAAATATTTTTATTCAACCACCTGGATAGATTACATCTGGGGGGAAAAGAAAGGATGTGATGTTCAGAACATGGTAACTACAGTAATTATCAAAGTGGGAAGTGATGCTCTCTGGGGGCATTTGGCCAGGGGTGTTTTTACACCACAGACAAGGTTTGAGAAGAAAAAAAATCATTATGAAAATATATTTACATTTTCCTTAAAATGTTCTTCCTAACTTCAGGCCTTATTCTCATGTCATATATAACTGATGTTCTGCAAAACAACAAGCTTTAAAACACTTTTTTCTTACTGGTGAAAATCAGATGGTCAAATCTGTTTTCTCTCAGGTACTTCACAGTGTAAGCTTCACAGTGAACATTACTACATCACTCTCATCAACATAGTCCATATCAACAACAAAAATATATCTCGACTCCATATAGTGGTTATTTTGGGAAAATCCCAGGTATTTTGAGCAGTAGGATTATAAAAAATATGTGCTAATATAAAATTTTATTAAGTAGCCTATATAAAATTGCAAAATAAATCTATCTATCAGTACTGTTTTACTTAAGTACATAAAAAATCATGTACTTTTGTACTGTCACGTGAGTAAAATTGAAAAAGGAGTACTTTTACTTTTACTGGAGTAATATTTTATTATGCGTATCTGTACTTTTACTCAAGTACTTGATTTGTGTACTTTGTCCACCACTGCATCCATGATTTATTTTACGTGTTTGATCACTGAATCTATATTTGAACTCATTTTACATTTAGCTCAGGGATGAAAACTGGGCACATGAAATGCATATAAATGGCCAATTCAATCCTGCCGTTTGATCACGTATTAAAATAAAGATTGATTGTTTGTATAAATGAATTTAACAGCCTAAGTTCAAAGCATCTGCCTATATCCTGGAGCTTTGATACCGTATGCTGATAAACAGCACATTGTAAGATCATAAAATTCAGATAAGCTTCTTTGGTGTTGGATGCCTTATTTTGATTTTTTTTTAACATGAGGTTAAAAGAGAATTAATTTTGATGCATTTGAATTCATTTTGGTTTTATGTGTACTTTTGAACCTCATTGACATTTATAGACCCTGAGGTACAGTACAAATGTAATCTCTGTTTCTGCTTTGACTTTTTCTCTTTTATAATTATTTTTCTTGCCTTCTGTATGTAATTTATTTCTGTTTTTTTGTTATTATTATATATCTGTATATCAATGTTTCTTTTTTTAATATATAGTATACAATTTAATGGACTCTAGGAAATATTTGGTGTATTGGCAGCAGGTTTGCCAGGTCCCAGAAAAATTGACAGCCCAAAACCAACTTAAAACCCACCCAAAAGGACAAAAAAAGGCCAATTTTCCTCAGATCAATCACAGTTGACATCTGTGGGGATTTAAAATAAGTGGTTTGATTTTATGTATCCTGTGCTTTACGTTTTATTTGGAAGATTTTAGTTAGACTACTTTAGTATGTGCATATTTCACTATTTAATCTGAATTTGATATCTATAAAGTTACTTAATTATTTTATTT